AAATGAACTTTTTCTCATATGATGACCAATAGTTTATTTCAAAAGTGTGCCCCTCCAATATCATTTGTTTAATGCTGATGTAAATACTAGAAGCGATAAAGACTGTTATAGGTAGTCCCCACTCTGGAAATCTAATGCATCCCCTTGCCAAAGAGGACCTCTACTTTAAAGACAATTACATTCTCTTTCTACCTCGTGTCAATTTATTGGCATATGTGAATAGATGTCCTTCAAAAGACAAAAAACTCTCTTGCAGTATATTTTACAATGTTATCTAATTGAATAGAGAAAACAAGCCTTATTTAAGCTCATGCTTAAGGAGTGAAAGATTTGTTTACCTACCCCCCAACATACACACACACACAGAAGAAGAAAAAAATACTTTGTTGTAAGTTGGGTTTTTAATCCTGACTTATGAGGGAATTAACCCAGAGGTATATTACCATGCAGCATTGCAAATGAGTACAAAAAAAGATATATCAGCTAATGACCTTTTGAAAGCTCATCCTCATCTTCATTGCTCCCCTAGGAGGTACTGGGGGAGAGAAAGAGCCCATGACATCTTTTTTTCTACTCTCCGTGGCATATAAAAACAGTATTAAACTTAGCTAGGCAAGGTTATTTGTCATTGAGTAACTAGAGTGGATGCCAGGAAAGTACACTTAGTCCTAGAATGTGAGAAATGGTATGAAACTACCAGATCAACTATTCGTCCAATCTCTTGTTTAATAGATAAGAAAATTGAGGCCATTAAAATTGTGAGGTGCTTTGTGAAATTGATCTGCTACAAAGATATGGATCTAAGACCACATACAAGATTTCTTTCCCCTGCTCTTTCTACTACACAGTTATGGCACACCAGGGTGCACCCATGGGTGATCACTGGACTTATGGAACACAGTAATTCATCAAGCAACCATTTGTGTATCCTGGGCATTAGACTACACATGGGCAGAAAACTACTCCTGCCTTTAAGTAGCATATAATGTACCATCATTTTGAAATTTTTCTCATTTTCTGAAGTCTTGAGTCATGTCAGAAAACCCAAGTGAACCATTTAGTGATGGTTTTATGGTTAGTCAATATCTAGTTTTCTTAAAATGTATATTGAGTTAGAAATAGTTGGTAGTTGGTATCTCATGCCTTCATAGACATCTCTCTCTAAAGAAGGGTCAAGCAAGAGAAGCTGCACCCCTTCCTGGGGTGCTGGAAAGAGAACATATTTTGCAAGGGCACTTGATTCCTGTGAACATGGATGCAATGTCATATGGTCTTCATGTAGGGAATTAAATGCCTAGAGATGGGGGTAGAGGTTGAAGTTAACAGAAACAAGACCATCTCTACTGTGTGATGTTTTGCATTTAGAGATGGGGAGAAATGTTATGCATCTCAATCATCACCTTTGCATAGAGGCAAAATGTTGTAGTGCAACAACAGATTTGGATTCAAGCTTTAACTCCATAATGTCTTTTCTATTTGGAGGTGAGCTTAGACCATTCTTGTCTTCAGTTTCCCCATCAATAAAATAGGATCTATAATCTCTTCCCACCCCACAGGTTACAGATAATATATGTGAAAATACTTATCTTCTTTAAAACACTATAAAAAATAAACTCTGTTATGTCCAATCTTCACTTTTCCCCCAGAGGTCCATCTTCCTATATTTACGTGACAATGGCCCCTTTTCTTAACTCTTAAAATAGCTTTTGATAGCTGTCCCTGCTATCAACCTATTCCCTGTGCGGACAGCACAAGCTTGATCTTCATGAAATCTTACTTTCATCATGCCTTTCTAATTTTCCTTTTTCTACAGGATTTAGTTCAAATGCCGTGGTTCAGAAATATAAAAACTCTTCCCACCTCTCCAGGCCAATCTCACTTATGCAAGCAAGGATGTTCATCACTTCCTTTTCTGATAGCTCCCCTCACGGAGTACTTATTTACACACTCACACACACACACACACACACACACACACTCACCCTCAGGAGGCCAAGAGCCATTTCCTAATACAGTGTTTTGCATTCAATATTCTTATCTGCAAAATAATAATACATAATTCTTAGAGCGGTTGTGAGGAGGAAATGTGATTATGTATATAAAGGATCTGACACATTTTAGGCATTTAGTTGGTGTTCCATAATGATAGCCTTTGCCATTATCGCCTTATTCAATTATCTTGGAAAGAAAGCAGGCTTCAGAATTATCTCCACAAGATTTTCTCCAGTGTAGTAGCCAAAAGCAAATTAAGTGATTTATACTCCTTGGTGCTTTCCCAGGAGAAATGATTGCATATGTCCACCAAAAGACAAAACAAGAACATTCATAACAGATTTATTCATAGTAGACAAAAATGGAAATATCCATCAATAAGAGAATGAATAAATGCCATTTAGTTGTGTAGTGAAATAGTATACAGTGATAAAAACTACAGCTACATGGATGAATTTTACAGGCATAATGAGGAGTGAAAGAACTGAGACACAAAAGAGTGTATACTCTAAGAGCCTACATTTACGAAATTCAAGAGTGAGTAACATGAATCTTTGGTGATGGAATTCAGAAATGAAGTTATTTCTGGGGGCTGGAGGGTTTTGACCAATAAGGGGCAGGACTCTGTTTCCTGGGGTGCTGGAAATGATGTGAGTAGTGGCTACATATATGCATATATAGGCAAAAACTCATCAAACTAAACACTGTGGAATTTCCTAATGTATATCTTACCTCTTAAAAATTTTTTTACATGGCTTAGGACTTCATAGGAGCAGAAAGCACAAGCAAGTTTTTCTTTTTTTCAAGTGGTTTTCTTGACTGCCAACTTTACCTCCTTTCTAGCTACTGGAGAGATCATGGAAAATTTTAACTTCCATTGAAATTAAAGATCATGTTGTTTGATCATTTCCTCGATTTACCCACTCCCATACCCTCTCTCAAAAGAACCTCAACATCCAGTGTCTTATCACTTGGGATAGGTTCAGTGGACTTCTGACCCTAGGATTTACAGAAGAAAATAACTCAGCAATTGGCCAGTGATAGATTTAAACTTTCACTGGTTCACTTGGATATTTTATTCTACAGGGAGAGCTGGGGACCCTGTGGGACCACCATTCTCTGACATGTTTTGTAAAGTAGGCACACAGACACTTGCAGTATGCAGAAGGGAGGTCACATTTGTACAAGATACAGAGGAAGGAACACAGGTGAAAGGAATGAATGTGTGGGGCTGGGAGTAGGTACATGAGGTACAATTTCTACTTTTTCCTCACTCAATTTATGGCATCCTGATGCTATTTAGCTAACCCCAATGTATGCTGCTTTAGCATTCATTAAATGTCTACATTCTTTTATTTTTGTTTAGTTCTTTACAAAGTAACCTCTGCTGTTGCTCTCCATTCAAGGAAACTGAATTGAGACACTTCCCTCCCTTCCTCGTGGTATGTCCTCTCCGTGCTGCCCCCACTGCATACTCAGTGTGAGCCCCCAAGTCCCCCAGCTCTTCAACTATCATTTTCCCATGCTCTGGCCAAAATTTAGTGCAGTATGCCAGTTAGCAGGGTATGTTTCAGCTTTGCACCCTCATTAGGACATCAAAAATACATAATTCACACCCTTCCATTTAAAGTTAATAATTTCCTCTGTCAGTCTTTCCTCCTTCCTCTCTCCCTCTCCCGCCTCCCCTCTCCCTCCCTCCATCTCAATTCGCGGCCCAGCACAGCACCTGCTTCACAGAAACAAGGCTGGTCCTGTTCCGATTTCTCTAGTTCTGCTTTAAACCAAACGGAGATGCACAGTCGCTCTTCCTGACACACACTGAAGCGAAAGGAGACACGCAGAAGGAAAACACCACAGGCAAAAAAAAAAAAAAAAAAATCCCTTTTTTTTGAAAGCAGGACTTTTTTTTTTTAACTTAATCTCTCCTTGGAAACCTGGAGGTTTCTCCTCTGTGCCTTCGTCCTCACAGTCCTCGCACGGGGGAAAAATGCTTCTTGATTTAGCTGTCCTGCGTCTCCGGATCCGTTTCTCTCCCTCGCCGCCTCGCTGGCTCCTGCTGTCTGTGCCCCTTTCTTTCCCTTGTGTCTCCGAGTGTGTGTGTGCGCGGAGTACTTCTCACTCGGGAGCTTATTTCTAATTAAGTGATTCAAAAGGGCAGAATGCACAAAACCAAGGAAGGAAATCTCACATCAGAAGGAAAATGGCTCAAACGGGTCCCCATCTCTGGGAGTTCTAGTTAAGCAAGCAAATAAAATGGGCTGGGACAAATGATTATGGCAACTCAGGGAAATTAGAAGAGAATATAGCTAGCTACCCAGCGACTTCTCGTTCCTCAGCCTTCTGAAGACTCACCAACGCCTCAGCCGTGGATTTATCCAAAGCTCCCTCTCCACACCAGAAAGTCCCTGCTGCAGAGCCGCGAGGGTGGACGGAGCCCCCGCCTGCCAGCCAACCAGGGGGAGGGCGGGGAGGCTCAGCGCCCGCCCCCTGCCGGCCGCCCAGCCAATGGGCACCTGGGGGGAGAGTGGCGCTGTGTCCCATTGGCCGCCAACCTACGTGCACGGGAAAGAAAGAGAGGCAGGCAGGGCAGCATTGTTATCTTAAGACACTCGTCGGTGTCTGAGCCCGCAGGTGACGCCGCGCAGGTGCGGGCGGCGGGAGCGGGGCGCGGGCCGCCGCTCTGGGATGCCATCCGCCCGCCGCCCGCTGCTCGCGGCCCCGGCGGCGCCTGCGCCGAGCTCGCGGGACACGCAGCGCCCGCCAGGGCTGTGCACCTGCCGCGCTGCGCTCCGACGGCCGGCGGCGTGCGGGCGGCGCGGGAGCCGGAGGGCTGTCTGCGCTCGTGCCCGCGGTGACTGGGGCGAGAGAGCGGGCCAGTGAGCCTCTTTAGAGTTGGGAAGAAGGCAGCATCTTGGGTTTCTGCTCGGCGGAGGGACGGGGAGTCCCCCGGCCGGGCGTTGCACTTCCTCGCCTCCGCCGCCCGCGTGCGCCCGGCCGCGCGGAGCCGCTCCAGGACGCTCCGGGAGGCCGGGTCCGCGCCGCCCGCGGGACGGCGGCGGGCAGGCGTGTGACGCGGCGGCCACGGCGGAGCGGGGAGCAGGACTTGGAAAGAGACGCCCGCCCCTCTCACGCTGAGGGGAGGCGTTCGCGTTCCCCCAGATGAGAAAGAGCCACAAGAAATCATGAAGTAAAAACTTTGGAGAGCTGCCACTGGAGATGTCGCACAAAAACCTGGAATCTTTTAGGAGTCTCCTCCCAGTCGCTGAAGGCTTGGGGAGCAGCTGATTCGGCGAGGAGGGCTCTTGCGAGGATTCAAGGTAACAGTGCAGGGTTTTGGTGACTTTTCTCTGTTTCGCTCTTCCATTGTCCTTTTCTGGTGTGTCCGTTGGTAAGGGGATCATTTTGCTGTCATAGAGCCCAGCCCTCTTGCCCTGGTGCTTGGTAGTTGCAGGCACTTCTCCTAGTTGCTGTCTTATGGAGCTGAGCAATGGACTTTGGGGTTTAGCTAGAGATCGTCCTGGTATTGCCTCCCGGTGTTGCACGGCGGTCACAGGGCTTGGGCACTCTGCCTGACCTATATTGCTTTTGCCTGGTTTAAGTCCTCAAAGTTAGAGCAACTTCCATTAGCTACAGAAAATTCAATCGGGCTGCATAATTGCAAAAAATGACAAGGACTCTTGCTTGCCCAGCCGTTACTGGGAGGTTCACTATGTCTAGGAGGGACCCCAGAGAGCTGAGGTCATGATGCAGGACATTTATACTCACATGTTCATAGAGTCCTATGGATGTATGTAGAGGCCAGTCTGTCTCCTATTCATATGCAGCCAGGAAAAAAATTCCAAGAGTGAGCCATGTAGGTTGCAAATAGTCTCCCCAGGTGGTGGCAGAAGCCCCACTGCTTGAGTTGAGCCTGGCAGAGACACTAGAGGAGGATGCTGATGTGCTGAAAGGAGGGCTGTGCTGCTCTCATCTAGCAGATCCCTCTCCCTGTTTGTGATCGTCTGGGGCACACAGTTGAATGCTGCGTGTGGGGTGTGTGTGTGTGTGTGTGTGTGTGTGTGCATGCGTGCGCTTGTGCTCACCGCTGTATGCAGGAAGCAGGCTGCCCACAGAAGAGCCAAGCATGTGCTGCGCCCTGCCCGGGCCACGAATGCCTGGAGTGTTCCTCCGTGGCAGGAGCGTGAACTTGTGAGCTGCCGCTCTAGCCAGAGGGTTTTCTCCTCACTCAGCAGTCCCTCTGCATGGTACATGTTTATCCAGGGCATATAGACCTAAGTCAAATATTAACTAATATTCAAACTAACACACTGTAATGTGATTGAACAGTCCCATCTCTCAAAAGCTGTATGTGTGCTCTTCCTAGTCCTGGGAGCAGGATGCCATGAGCAGAAACAAATGTTTTGTTAAAAAGGATAATAGTTATAAAAGGCAATGCTGATAGCTGGGTAAGCTGGGCCTTATCCAACAGGGACAGTGATATGTCAGCATAGACCAATCAGAAGAATAAAAGGTATATTGTGAGTCAAGTATTTCTGCCTCGGTCCTTCTCCAGACATGTGCATGTCCAAATCAATCTCTCTCTCTCGCTGCCCCCACCCCCCACCATGCTCTCTAGAATACATGCGATGCCAGTATTAACAGGCAGCTAAAGTATTTTACCAAATCCCCGGGGGGCAGCCTGATGACATCAGGCAATAGCAAAGTGATGCTGGAGTTTGTGTGTTTTCCGTCTTGACTTCACACACTTGTGTACATGTTATTTGTTTAAGGCATGACCCCCTGGAGTTCCCTTTCACCCAGAATACGTTGCTTTGCAGCATTGAGGCCATGACCGAGCAGTGCTGCCATGATGATCTGCCCTATCAATACCACAGCTGCTGCCGACTTTGGGAAAAGATGCATGCTTTGCTTCTTTGAGGAGGGATATGATCTGAAAAGGTGCAGAACATGTAGACTGTGACATGTTGGGGGAAAGGAAGCAAATGTCAGAACATAGTCTTCCCTGCTGGAGGGCAGCTGGCTGCAAACTGTTGGACAGCTGGCTGCACATGGAGAAGACAGGAGCATCCTTGACTCTTGCTTCCCTCTCCTCACCCAACACGGAGCTGGCTTTGTCTCCCAGAATGGAGTGATGTGTGCTGCAGTGTGGGCACAGGAGAGGAGGTGAGGAGGAAAGGGCTAGGGAGGAGGTCCCTGCTCTGCTAGCATTGGGCTGGTCTCAACGACGGGGAGCGTCTTCTCTCTTTGACCCTCAGAATCATCTTCTGGGTGTTCCTTCTGGCTTCCTGACAGGTTGTTTACTGAGCAAGGCCAAAAGGCAAAGAACATGCCTGCGTCATCAACTCCTCCTGTGCCCTTTCCCAAGACACAGGCTAGCCACCCGGGAACGTCACATAAAAAAGATGCCCTCCTCCGAGACGCCGCTCCAAAATCCCTCCCCAGCTCACAAACAAGAGGCAATCTGGAGGGACTTGAGACATCTGCGTGGGCACTTTCTGCTGACTGGGATGCTTAGTGTTGAGGTTTCCCGGTTAGTGTTTTGTTTTCCCCACTGTGCAGTGTATTTTTGGTGATTCAACTCTTTCACTTAAATAATAAGACCTTGTATACATTTTATAATGGCAGCCCTTTCCAAAGGGCTGGGAGCACTTTATGGAGCTCATCTAATTAATCCTCACACAGCTTATTGTCTCATTTATCTTTGATTACCCTAAGAAGAAGCGCTAGGATGATTTTAAACTCATTCTTGGAAAAGGAAGAGCAGGGAACCTCAGAAAGAAAAACCACTTGACGTGGGTCACACAGCATTTAATGACACTGTGGAATGGTATCTGGTCCTCGTTCCTAAACCAACCCCAGACTCCACAAGGCTCCTTCTAAGGAATGGTTTAATCTTAGTGGTTGTAATCTGCTTTAGTTGTTGTGTGCTTTACAAGGACACAAAGTCACAGTGACACAAGGCTTGTCCTCTGGAACTAACCTAAAGGCTATAAGGGATAAAAGTCTTATAAGCCTTTGCTTTTGATCTCACTGATCTTACAGTCGAGGTAGGAAACTAGGTTCACATCTGGGGAAAGGGAAATGAAAATATAAGTTCTAAACAATAGTTCAGTATAAGAGAAGTCACTAGGATGACCTAATTAATCTGCAATTGACCTGTACACATAATGAGACCTATTGGTATTCAAAGGAGCGAAAACTTGAGTTGAGCCATAAGGGATGGGGTAGGATTTGTTTGGATAGAAAGAGACGGGGTTCCCGCTGACAGAGACACTGGCTACAGCATGGCTGGGAAGCCTGGAACTTCAAAGCTTGTGTGATTTCTTGGTGTTTACCCTGGGCTACCTATCCCCTTGTATCCTGGAAATGCCACACTCGTGTTTTAATTATTTTAAACATATATTGGCCTAAAGGAAGTTACCCTAGACCCTAGGCAGAGGGCTCTGAAATGTTAGGCATCTCACTGAATGTTGAAAATTACCTAGCATTCCACTCACCCCTAAGTCTAAACTATATATTATGGAAAAAATGTTGCTCAAGGTCAGAGAGCTTATCAAAATCATATCCAAAAATTTGAATGAGGATATTAGAACAAAGCAAACACATTTCAAGAGAACACAAGAAAATCTTCTTATATTTTAGCATCAGAGTCTCCTGAGAGAGAGCCATGATTTTCCTCCATTTCCTATTTCCCCACCCAAATGTTCCTCTGGGGTTTACTTAGAGCTGGCACAGTGCCAAAGCCCTTAGGCATTTAGCATAGAGCAGGAGATTTTCAGTCTTAAGATTCTTGAGCATGGCGATGTACATAACCTCTTGTCTCCCCTTCTCTTTCCCTTTTAATAAAACATAAGCTGTAGCAGTCACAAAGGCGGAGACCACAAGAAAGCGGGCGTGAGTGGGGCGCGGAGTTGCCCGCAGCTGTACCACAGGGCGCTGTGTGTGCTGGGCTTAGCAGCAGAGGGGAGAGGCAGCCGCCCGCCCAGGCAGCACCAAGGAAGGGCCACGGGCTGTGGCTCTGCAGAAGGCTGTGACCAGCCAGCCACGCATGTTTGCTTCAGCGGTGGCTTCTCTCCCAGAGGAAAGGTCACGTGAAGCACAGGTGCTGTGAGAGGGCTGGTGACGCAGCCACCCTATCCACGGGACACATCTACCCATGCTGTCCTCCACTGGCTGCCCGGGCCCCATGCCAACATGGAGAAAGTCCCTGTTGGACACAAGAGCGGGAAGATTTGCCTAAAGTCACACCATAATTGCTCTCAGGCCAAAAGAAAATCCCCAAGAACCCAGTCTGTTTGCTTGCTTGGCCCTGGGAGTTCATTCTGGGAACAGGACTCAGGGACACTTACTCTCTCTTGAAAATCCTGTCCTAGACTTTGCTGTCACCCATGTTTCCTGTGTTACATGATCACGCAGCTAGGCTGTGGCTATGGTGCCTTTTCTCTTTACTATTCAGAAGCATCCACGCCACGTTTGGGGGTGGATGTAGAGGTCCAGGTCCGGGCGTATGGTTGCGGATTAAAGCCCCTTCTATTCGGAAGTGAAGAGATAGGCAGACCGGGAGTTCAATAGATGCAGGTTGGCCCCTCTTTAAACTGTCACTCTGCCATGCAGAGAGAAGTAAAGTTGAGCAGCATAATTATAGCATGGAATCTTTAGCAGCCAGTTCCATCATTCCTCTTACTGAAGCTCACATGAAATGCAAATATATCTGGACTGCTGGACTGGACAGCGAGCAGGCAATTGCAGACTTCACAGGACTGAGCTCTGACCTCACTGTCCAGCACGGTAGCCACTCGCCACATGTGGATCTTGAGCACCTGAGATGTGTGCTGTTTGGGTAAAATACACATCAGACTTTGAAGACTTAGTTTAAAAAAAAAGAATGTAAAATATCTCACCAATAATGTTTTATATTGATTACATGTTAAAATGATAATATTCTGAGTATATTGGGTTAAATAAAATATAGTAAGGTTGGTTTTACCCATTTCTTATTACTTTTTAACATGGTTATAGAAAAGTTAAAATTACATATATGGCTGGCATTATATTCCTTTTGGACAATGCTGGCTTTGGCCCTGCAGAGCCCTGACAGGTTAATGGCAGACAAGGCAGAGCATGAGACAAGAGGCACAGAAGAGAGAGAACAGGCAGGGAGGGGTTTGGAGCAGCCCAGAGTGAGCTTCTAGGCATGTACTTCTGAAATTTAAAGTCAAGAAGGGAAAAATAGCTCACATGGACCTATATTTACTTGAGGAGGGACCTTGTTAACACAACTCAGACCAACCAAAGCCTTTGGGAAGCATTGCAGCTCTCAGCTCAGTGCAAAGAATGAGCAGGTGGGAGGCTTGGTAATATTATCCTAATATCTTCAAGTATCTTCCTGATAGTAGAAATACCCAGGTAGCTGATCTTTGGGGTCTCATTGCAAATTGTGAGGACACAACAGTTGAGATCAGCTGGGTGGGTTTGATTTTCCAATCTTCTTCCTTCTCATTTCTGCCACAGTACAATTGCTCCTTGTGTTTACCCTTTTCAAACCAGATATGTCGATAATATGGTGGCCAGAAAGAAAAGGCATGGCTATGTGTTAAAGATTGTTTTGTGCACCTACCAAGAAGAAAACTGGGGAGAAGGCATAATGATTGAATTCTATTTAATAATTACAGATTTGAACATCATAAATCATTCATTATTATTATGTTATTATTGTTAAACTGCAATAAGGTTTGGCCAGAACTTGAATTCATATTTGCTCAGCATTCTATAGCTCACAGAATATTTTCAGAAGTTTTATCTCACCTGGTCCTCACAGCACCCTGTGGGATGGCAGTAATATCCACTCAAAGTTTTCATGATCTTCCCCCAAATCATCTTTATCACTGTATTTTCTGATACATCCCTTTATGTGCACTTTGTTCAGTCTGCTTAATCCAGCTGATGTTTGTGTTGTTCTTAAATGTTAACCATGTACAAGAGGGATTATTACTTTTCTTTATCTTCAGTTTCCTCATCTATAAATATTTAAAAAAAATAATGCCCCATTCTCAAAGTGTTGCTCTAAATGTAACATAAGATAAAATGCGGAAGATGCCAGACATAGTTCCAGGCGCATTGTAGATGCTAACAAAGTTAACACTCTTTCTCAGCAAAGGTCTTCACTCTGAGATCCCCAAGATGAAAATGTCTGAAGCTGAGCTTATAGAACGCACCAGTTCACACCCAACCGTCTCTTTCACCAGCGCCCTGCGTTGGTTAAGAGCACAACCTAACCTCCAGAGGCGCAGTGAAGACTGTGGGTTGTCCCGGGCCCCACTTTCTCTCACACCACCCTGCATTTAATCAATCCTACCTCCTAACGATTTCTCGATTTCTCGGGGCCGCCCTCTCCTCCTCGCCCCTCCTGCCACTGTCTAACGCCAGGCTCTCCCGCCGCCCTGCAGCACCTTCCCTACTGGTCTCCCTGTCTCCTCTCCTGGAGGCTGACGCTCCAGTTTCTTGCCTGCAGTCAGGCGCTCTTTCAGATGGTCAGTGTGACTACGCTTCTCCTCCTCTCGTCATTCCCCCACGACTCCCCACTCCTGGTAGAATGGCATCCAGGTTTCACGCGTTGCACGCGGGAGCGCCTTCGTGAGCTGGTCAGCCTTCCTGTGCATCTCCCCCGCCGCCCTTCTCTGCCGCCTGACCCTGGCACTGCCTCAGTACTGGAGCCTTTGGCCTGCTGGGCTGGCTTCCTGCAGAGCTCCCCCTGTCCTATCCTCCGCTTCCTGAAAGGCGACCGAGCTTCAAGACTCTGTAAATAGTATCTCCTCTGGGAAGGCTTCTCTGAGACTCTGGGGCAGAATTAATTGCCTCCTCCTCTACACTCCTACACATCTCACTCAAACTCTGGTTTTGCATTCTACTCGCCACACCGTGACTTATTTATATGGCTATCTTCTGCCCTAAGCGGCAGGGGTGGGATTGAGGTTCTAAGCCACATATCTCTGAAAATATTTATTGAATATATTGAATATGTTAATATGAGTCTGTGCTGATTCCTGTTCTTAGGCACTGGAGATTCAGCAGAAAGCAACACAGACATAAGCCCTGCCATTAAGTTGCTTCATTCTAGCGGGATGATGCGCTGATAGTCATGACAGTGGTTACTGTGCACTGCT